TTCCTCTCCCTTTCTGATTAAACTCAACCAATCAGTATCACCCTCTAAGGCACGACTTGGCTGCCTTTAGAAGAAGAAAAAGAAGCGTCATTGACTAACAACAGTACAGTACGAGAACTAAACCCAGCAGTATCTCCCCTGGCTATAGCAGTGCGGCAGCTGGTGGGGGGATGGCAGTTAAGCAGAGGAAATGGGACAAAAGGAGAGAGCTTAAGATAATGCCCCCATGCGATTAAACAGAATCTGAAGCGGACACAGAGCTGTCAATGAGAATCAGGCCCACTGGGTGAAATGCACCAAGGTCCTTTTTTCGCAGGGCTCGTAAGTTACAGTTCCATCCACTTGAAGGCCACTTTCCACTGTGAGAGCGACGTAAAAGGGCCTTAGTGTGTATGAGAAACAGGCCTGATGATTTGATCCTCCTCCTAAAGGATTCTGGGCCTGAACCAAAGCTAACTTACATCAGCGTAAGGCCCACTGACTTCAAGTGAGCTCTGCCATAGGGTCTAAGTGCCGTGGTATTGCATGGTTCTGAGAGCAACACGGCCCCTGGGGAACGACGGTCAGCGTTTCAGCTCGGATGGCTTTACTGCCGCTAGTCCTATATAAAAAGCTTTGGCAAAAAAATACATCTAGAAAGCTATTAAACTACAATCTTTTTTTTTTCCCTCTTTTTTTTGGTAACCACAATTCTTTGACCTCTTTGGTTTTAGTTTTTAAAAAAATTTAGAAGCTGAAAAGCAATTTTTTTTTTATAGAAATAGATTTTTTCTTAAAAAAAATCAAAGCATCTTTTAGCATTTTTATATATATATATATAAAATTTCTGCTGTAGAAAAAAAAACACAAAAAAACCCTTTGTTTTAAAAAGGGGGAAAAATGGTTTTCTAGCCTGGGGGGGGGGAATAGCATGATATGGCAGGATGTAAGCAAGGAGTGCGCCCTTTGCTGGTTACATGATGCTGCAGTTTTGAGGACCCTGGAGGGAGAAAAGAGAAAATAAATCATTATGAATTCCTGTTTGCTTCAGTTAAAGGGGAACCGCAGGAGCCCTCAAGAAAATCTACTGCCAAGTACTAATTACTACACGCGGCAGTTCCCGGGCCCCAGTAGTTGCACGAGTTCTAACTTAACAAGTGACTCCTCCCATTGATTTCATTCGTCCGGCTGGAGGAACACCCGCTTCTGCTTATGGACGGTGACAAAATGCTCGCCAATTGGAACCTTTCGCCAGCCAGATTTCACGTAACAAATAAGTGACCGAACTTTTCTTGGTAAGTGGCCTTTGCTTTTCGAATCCAGCCCTAGCTCAGGGACTCAGCATCCCTCTTTCAGCAGTATTGGAATGATCCCAGAAGTATGCCCATAAGAACCCATCCCCGGACATGGGCAATACCAGGAGGGATGAGCTGGGGTGCTGATGAGAAGCGCAGTCGGGAAAGTAACCCAAATACTTTCCTGATGGACTGTTTTTTTTGCTAAATGGACAACCTATCCGAAATTCTCAATTACTGAGCGACAATCTGCACTCATTGGTATATTTTGCTTTCCGCCACCAACTCTCTGTATAACTGTTTTCATGAGTGATGTACCCGAATGCATGGATGCTAAATATCTAAACTGTATTCTTAAATTCATTCACCTACATTTGGGTTATTGCTGATTATGCACTATAGGTATCTTCGAAAAGAACAGGAGGACTTGTGGCACCTTAGAGACGAACACATTTATTTGAGCATAAGCTTTCGTGGGCCACAGTCCACGTCTTCGGATCCATCTCCTGCTCTTTTCGGGGATACAGACTAACACGGCTGCTACTTTGAAACCTGACTATATGTAGCTTATGACTTTAAAAACAAACGCCGTATTTGTGGATAATCTAAGCACTATACCCAGATGTGTATACACAATGTTTTTAACAAGCAACAGAGGGTCCTGTGGCACCTTTGAGACTAACAGAAGTATTGGGAGCATAAGCTTTCATGGGTAAGAACCTCACTTCTTCAGATGCAAGTGAAGAAGTGAGGTTCTTACCCACAAAACCTTATGCTCCCAATACTTCTGTTAGTCTTAAAGGTGCCACAGGACCCTCTGTTGCTTTTTACAGATTCAGACTAACACGGCTACCCCTCTGATACTTGACACAATGTTTTTAACATTAGCTTTAATAAACATTTGAAATCCGTTAAAATACTCAGCTCATATTTTAAGATGGTGACCCTTTAGGGCAGGGAATAATCTTTTTTGTTTTGAATTTGTACAGCATTGAGCACCATGGGGTCCTGATCCATGAGTGAGTGTCCAGTAATGCAAATAAGAATACTAAAAATGAGTGCCTTTCATCCGTATCTCAAAGCGCTCTATAATCATATAAAAGCATTCCTCCCCGTTCTATAGATGGAGTATCTAGAACATTAAATAGTTTGAGAATTAGGGGTAGTATATTAGAATAATAATACTGATTAGAATAGTATTCATCTAATAAACTGATACTAACTATTACTAATAATGATCTAGAAAGGTGGAGTATTACAATACTCAGATACTAAGTACTAACATTTAGTTTTGGAGTATTATAAAGACTCGATTAGAGCATTAGTAGAAGTAGTATTCGTTAGCATTAGAATATTATAAATACAGCAGAACCGCATTTATACGATCTAATTAAGACCGGGGCCAGGTAGGGTAATAAAAAAATCTGGAAAATCTGGAGAATGGGAAAGCGTAGGGCGGCAGCGCCATCTAGCAGCCATAGGCGAGATCACCTGCTCTGGACCTGCGAGCGCTGGTTGTGGGTTAATAGGGAGAGCTGGATAATGGCGGGTCGGATAAACGGGGTTCTACTGTACTCCACCATTCGAGCATAAGCAGTAACATGCCACTGATACAACACTTCTGGAGCAGATGTCATCCACGGATGTCAACACACTTTACAAACAGAGCGTCATGGCAGTGCTATTAAACCGACTGCACAGCTGGGACACTCGGGCACAGAGCAGCTGAGTAACTTGCCAAGGTCATGCAGCGAGACACGGACAGAGTAGGGGTAGGACCCATGAGTTCCCCGTTCCCTGCTTAAGCGACTGAATATCTGTTCTTAGTACTAAGGATGGAAGCCTGGTGCCTGGATTCCATCTGAGACGGGAAGGGGACACAGATGCATTTCTATGTACATTTCAGAGGCGGGGAGGACCTAACCACTTGCCCTAAGAGAAGCACCTCCCATTAGAGACGTTCAGCTGAAGGAAGCCTGGCCAGGGCCATGAGCACAGGGAGCCGTGAGGGGTGTGGGAAGATGTGGGCAGCTGAGTGTCAGGAGGGAAGCAGCAGCCGCAGCCAGGAGATGGAGAGAAGGGGAGAGAGCCAGGAAAGGAACCGAAGCGGGAGAGGGAAGAGGGTTTAAAAGATCGCCTCTGTTAGAACTACGACGGAGGGGGAGGGTTAAGGGTTCCTCCCAGGAGCCCGGAGGTGGGTTTCTCACTCAGATGAGCTGAGCCAGTTCAGTCCTCGGTGCAGGCTTTGCCCCCCGGCTTCAGAGTCCCCCCCAGCTAATGTTAGAATAGGAACCACAACTCCT